GAAATTTTTTAAAACAAATTTTTGTGATAGAAAAGAAACTTAATGGTAACATTGGAAGTGATATTTATTTTAAAGACGCCTTAATATACTTTTATATGGAGTAGTGTAGCTTAAAAACATTCTGTTATTTTCATATAGAAAACTAAATTTACCAAGTACGTTAGCAACTTGTACTTCTTTTGACATTAGTAAGGGAAAATCATGCTAACCCAGCACTATGCTTACATTCACTGAAGAAAGACTTAAAGTAATATATATCTTATTGAATTTCATATTTTTGTAATCTCCTAATAAATCACCCTGACTTATGATATATTATTTAGTTTTATGTTCTTTGTGGTATTAAATATTTTAAAAATAATCATTTTAGGGGGGAGTGGGGTAATTTTTTTAGATAAATGCTTAAGTGTACATTTCAAACTTACATTTAATAAGACGGAAAAATATAAAGACAAGAATTGATTAATTTAAAATAAAATCTTCTAAATATTCAAAGGGAAAAAACGAATTAACAATTAACAATTAAAAATAAGTCCAAACCCAACCTATCCGATATTTCTACAAAGTACTTTAAATAGTTAAATAAACTAGAACACCAAAAGTGTGTCCCCACACTTCTCTTGTTAACATTATCTGTAAGCAATTTGAATGTAATGAGTAGTGTTAATAATGATACACCACTTTCACATAATTCTGTTAAAGAAATAACTCATGCGGAATGTCATAATATTTTTTATATACCACTTAATTTCAATCATTCTAACTTATGTGTTTTGTTGTTTCCAAAAATATAAGAACTTTATTGAAAACTCCAAAAAATCATGAAATTATAGATATAACTGGCGGTTTTTATGTATATTTAGAAATAAAACATATGCTAATTTCTTTTTTTAAATACAAATAATGCTGAAAAATATATTTAAAAGCTAATAAAGAAATGCGATTGGAAAAAGAATAAATAGAAAACATTATTTATGAAATAAAAAATAATTTGATATTATATAACTGATGAGTACGATAGACTTCCAAGATTACTTGATGATATAGAATATATAGAATATATAGAATATAAAACATCAGAACTTAGAATATTTTCATTGTATTCAGGTCAAATAGTTTAAAAAAATAAATTGAAAAAAAAATTTTACTCCCATTTTGTACTGTTAGTGAGTGTAATTATCATTTTAATTAATGTTGAAACATATAATGTTCATAATGAACTAGCATCTATTTTACTTAAAGAATTTGTTAATAAATATTCAACTCTTTATGGCTGCCATTTAATTACTTACAATGTGTACAGTTCAATTCATTTGCCAGCTTTTGTACTTGTACGTGGCTCACTTGATAAGTTTAGTTGTTTTAGATATAAAAATGATTTATATGACTTTAAGAAATCTATTAAATCTATTAAATATCCAATACAAGAAGTTTATATTAGAGTTTTGGAAAAATAATACTAAATTATACGCTCCCATTTCAATCATTCTCTGTTTGTCCAACTCTATGCAATGAAGTTATGCAACAAAAAATTCCTTCTAAATTTATTAATGCCTCGGATAGTATTTTTGAACAAATTGTTTTACCCTTTTTCAATATTACACTAAAATTAATAAGGGAAAAGATAAATGCAATAAGATTAAATATAATTCTGTTGTATCTGTTCATCGTATAATAAAACCTATAATAAATCTGTTAAATTACTTGTAAAAAATATTTTAATTATACTTAATTAAGTAATATCCTTATCTTCAACTAAAGTAGGTATATTTGTCGTTAACACTACTCAAATATCAGATTTATTTAACATTAGTTCATCATGTATTAAATACAAATGATTTTTTGTTAGAATGTCAAATAGACTGGTAGTTGTGTCAAATTTATGCCACAAAGTTTGATTTTTTTTTTTAATTATAAAACTATAATATATAATGATACAAATTAATTATTATATATGTTGATGACAATAAATTATCAAATATATTTCCATGTTGTTAAATATTTGTATTGGACAGTATTTTATATTTATATGTCCTTTTTTAATTTTAAAACTTTAATATATAATGATATAAGAGTAAATTATTATATTTGATAATTTATAATTATAGTAATTTATAAATTATTATAAATATTTCACGTGCATTGATTATTTAATTTATTATGTGTTTGTGCGAGTAAAAACATATATTAAACGCATCGAAGCTAAAACCATAGATTTTGAATCTATCGTAAAAAATGCAAATGTATGTACAATAGTTATAAATATCACAAATGAAACGACTTTTGGTTAAACAGATCTGTTGTATAAATGTTACTAAGAGGCGTTAAAAAGCAGTTTCATAAAAGACGTCATTGCGGAGCAAATACAGTCCGCGGGATGTTTTTTATACAATTATAGAACGCAATCCGATATGTTCCGTGTATCTTCGAAACATCCCATTGTTATTTCTGGGTCAAAATTTTGACACAGTGTTAACACTGTACATATTAATTGTGCCTCCATCATCATAAAGACTACAATTACTATCGCAGTAATTTCATTCCCACATACAATCCTGTGTCATAGTGCTATACTATCGCAACAATAATAAAAGTAATAGAAATATCATAAAAAAAAAACCAGCACAGGGGGATCGCGGCACAGTGGTGACGTGGCATAGTTGGATCAAGTATAATGATATCTGACAGTGATTAAAATCACTGTAAAAAAAAAAAGCTTCGATGCAAAACTTAAGATAGTGTTTAATTTTAAAAAATTGGTGGATTATTCCAAAAGCTACATAATCTGTTATTTTTTTATTAATATCCTGAATGAAAAAGGGATTATTAAAAAATATAATTTCTCATTAAAAAATTATGTTGATCCATTCACTTTTCAATAAGTTATATCATTATAAAGTTAAAAATG